AGACCAGTGAGCGTCCATAGCAGAATCAGGAGGTCTGTTGAGAGAGCGAAATGTGTTTGTTCCTTCCTCTCTGTCCGCAGGGTCTCTGGCGGTCCTGGGGAAGGGCCCGCTGCGGGAGACGGTGCCTGGGTGCGCTTGCTGTCGGGGGGCCGGGGGCGGGGCCGGGGGGCAGGTGGAGGGCTGCTGCTGTTTTCTCTCACTCATTTCCTAGGTCTTCTTATCTCCTCTCTGTGTGGCTCTGGTGACAGGGACGATCCGGAAGGCTCAGAACCTTCTGAAACAGTATTCCCAGCATGGTCTAGATGGGAAAAAGGGGGGCTCTAACCTCATTCCTCTGGAAGGTAACCACCCCGTGTTCCTCTCCCGTTCCTCCTCCTCCACCGTGTGTTCACTCGCGGGGCAGGGCAGAGCCTCAGCCCCCCAGGAGGGCCTCGGGAGAAACCCTGAGAAGGGGCCGGGTGGGAACGGCGTGTCCCTGTGCCCCTCGCTGTGGCAGGTGCAGGGACAGGTTTCGTGGCCCTTGGCCCGATCCTGTCTGGCTGACGGCAGCTCTGCCCTCCTCGACACTTCCCGCTCCCTCCCTTCCCTGTCTCTGTCCTTGTCTCCCGTTTGAACTCATAGAAGGTTCTTTGTCACGGGCAGCCCTTTCACGCTCAGACCAGCAGTGGCAGGGCTGAGCCGGCCCAGGCCTCCTGGCCACCCCCTGCACCCCCACGTGCAGCATGGGGACGGGCAGCCTATGGGAGGCCATGTCTCTCCTATCAGAGGAAGGACAGCCCCACCCTGGGGGGCCTGACCAACGAGAGAAGGCGTCCCCATCCAGTCGGCAGTGACATTTCCCTAACGGGGTCTCTAGCTGCTGGAAGCTCTTCAGACCCCTCGGTCCTTGCAGCTTTCTCTTGGCCTCTGGGCTCGGGGAAACCAGCTCCCGAGGGTGGTGCAAGGCACTGCAAGTCAGGCTTGAAACGGCTGTTCCCAAGGTGGTCTGAGGCAGAGGAGGGGCTCAGAGCCCTCTCTGGTGTCCCTGCCCCAAACCCCCATCTCATACCCCCTCCCGGAGATCGAGGGCTTCTTCCCAGCCCCCCGAGGGGCAGCCCACCCGGCCCCTGGATAAACGCTGCTTGTGTTTGTGCGGCCAACGTCTCGCTAGGTCACGCGCATGATTTCCGAGTTAAGCACCTGTCCGAGGCCCTGAACGACAAGCACGGGCCGCTGGCTGGTGAGTACCGCAGCCCAGCCTGAGGGCGGCCGCCGCTGCCTTCACAGCAGTCACCAGACGGCCTGCCCCGCCTGGCCCAGCTGGCCGCTCTGCTCTGAGGATGGGCCAGGCCCAGTCGCCTCTCTCGCCAGTCTCTCTCTTTCGGGCACTAGGTCTCCTTGCCTCTCTCCAGATGGGAGTGCATACCTGCCTCTCGGGGCCTGGGCCAAGGGGAGAAGTGGCCGCGACTTGGTAGGTGGGCAGGGAGTCCCTACAGCTGGCTCCAGCAACAGCTCCAAGCTCTGCCTCCTGGGAGCCCATCCCTTGGCGCATAGAACTAGGTTGCCTGCCAGCGCCCCCGCCCCAGCCTCTAGGAGCGGGGTCCAGCCTCCTACTGGGGCAGCTGACAACCAAGGAGCCCTCCCTCCCTGAGGCTCACATCGCCTCTTCTCAGATTTTGACCGCATGCCAGCTAGCCTCATAGGCTGGGGCCCACCGCCTTCTTATGTTCCCGAGGCCTGGCCAGGCTGGTAACTGCCTTCAGAGGCCCAGCATTTTCAGAGATGGATGTGCCTGCCTCCTTGAGGTGGGCACTGCTGCCTGCCCATCCTCGGCTGCCCTCTTTCCATACAATTCAGAATTCTTAACCCTGGGGTCAGACATACGCTGTCCAGGAAGAAGATTCAGGAAGCTTCCGTCCTTGTTCTTTTACCCGCGTCCCCACCACCTCCAGCACCTGTTCATGGCAAAGCTGAAAGCGAAGCCAGGAGAAAGGCTGGACTTTTCCCCTCGAACCCGGTCGGGCCTGCCAGAGTCCTCAGCTTTCTGCCCGGACAGTGTTCCTCCTCCCCATCTGCTGCCAGTCCGGCCCACAGGCCAGGAGCTGGGGAGACCCGTGCCCCCATAGCAGGGAGAGGGCTGCCCCCAGACCAGCAGCTCAGCGACACTGCTGTCCCCCCAGGGAGAGACGACATGCTGGACGTGGAGACCGACGCCTACATCCACTGCGTCAGTGCCTTCGTCAAGCTGGCCCAGAGCGAGTACCAGCTGCTGACGGAAGTCATCCCCGAGCACCATCAGAAGAAGACCTTCGACTCCCTGATACAGGTCCTGCCCTGCCCCTGACCGGACGTCCCAGGAAGGGCCGTCATCGAGTTTGGGCCGGGCCTGTTGTCTGTAGCCTCCAAACACAGCCACCGCCTCCACCTTGCATCCCAGGGAACTGTCCTGGGTGCTGTGTCCCTGTCGGCACCTCCCATCCCGCATCGGAGCGTACTGGCCCCCCCCCCCGACACCCTTCCAGGTGCCCTCCCTGTCCCTGGGAACCAACTCACCACTCCTCGTCCCCTCCCTGAACTGTGTCCTCGTCCCCCTCTCAGGATGCGCTGGACGGGCTGATGATCGAGGGGGAGAACATCGTGTCCGCCGCCCGGAAGGCCATCGTGAGACACGACTTCTCTGCGGTGCTCACCGTCTTCCCCATCCTGCGGCACCTCAAGCAGACCAAGCCCGAGTTTGACCAGGTGCTCCAGGTATTTGGGCGCGGAGGCCCCTGGGGACACGAGGAGGAGGAATCCCGCTGCCTGGCATGGCCTCCCAGGAGAACCGCTTTCTCTGACCCCCCACCTCTGCTCAGAGGGTGAATGGAAGCAGCTCACAGGTTTCGTGAGTGACAGAGAGGCAGCCATCTGGGGTGAGGGGCAGGGAAGCGTCTGGGAACACTCCAGGCCACGCGCACAGGCCGCGGCCGAGGACAGTGGCCGGGGCTCCGGCCCACTGAGTAGCTGCGTGCTTCCTCAGGGAACGGCCGCCAGCACCAAGAACAAGCTGCCGGGCCTCATCACCTCCATGGAGACCGTAGGCGCTAAAGCGCTGGAGGACTTCGCCGACAACATCAAGGTCAGCTTACTCCTCCCATTGCCACGGCCAGCTTGCGGGGCTGTGAGCAGGGCCACCAGTGACCTGGCTCAAGGACCCCTTCCGAGAATGGCCTCCAAGCGGGCGGGTCTGCCCCGAGGCAGAGCTGACTGGCTGGCAGTCTCCTGCCAGTACCCACTGCCTCCCTTTCTTTCCCAGGGGCCCAGGGCATAAGGCTCCTGCCCCACTTTGCCTAGAATGTCTGTCTTGCTTACCTTTGTGCGGAGGGGCAGCCTGACACCTGTGTGCCAGGAGGGGGCGCCAGGAGCAGGCTGACGGGCAGGCATGGGCCAGAGGCCTCCTCGGAAGCTGTCTCAGGGAGTGGGGCTGTCTCTTCCACAGAATGACCCGGACAAGGAATACAACATGCCCAAGGATGGCACTGTGCACGAGCTCACAAGCAACGTAGGTGCCGCCCGAGGTCACCTGGCGGGGCCTAGCCTGGCCCAGAGCCACCCATGCCTTCGCTACCGGTAGCTAACGGCAGGAGGGACCGTGGAGTGCTTAGTGCCCCCAGCAGACAGGGTCTTTCCCCGAAAGCCAGACCTGAAGCATGAACCGTGAAGTGTGCAGCCCTCTTCTCTGGCAGACCCTTAGCCCTGCCCTTGCCGTGGAATGGTCGTGGGGGGTGCATAGCGGGAAGCAGTCTGACCTCTGGGTCCTGCTCTTGGCCTTCTTGGACCCATTTTCTCCCCCATGCAGGCCATCCTCTTCCTGCAGCAGCTCCTGGACTTCCAGGAGACGGCGGGCGCCATGCTGGCCTCCCAAGGTACTTGGCACCTCTCATTGGGGCCCCCTGCCCGTGACCCCCTCCTCCCTCTTGCCTGGAGACATGGGGTAGGCACTGGCCACCTGTGGTGCAGTTTCCTCCAGCCCTGTGGGGTGGGGTGGAGATGCGGCCTGTGGCGGGACACCTGAGCTGGTTGGGCCCTCTGTGCCCGAACATCAGGAAAGGGTTTCACTGCCTTCCTGACCCGACCCCCATCCCTTCGGCTCCCTCTGGAGCGCACTCGCTTGTTAGAAGGTGCCCTTCCCACCTCGCCCCTTCGTTTGCATTTTTCCCGCTCCTCTTGTGTTCACCTGTCCTTCTGCAGTGGTCCCCAACCTTTCTGGTACCGCGGACTGGTGCTCCTGTGAGCATCTAACGCCTGCTGGTCTGAGGCGGAGCTGAGGCGGTGATGCTGGCGCTGGGAAGCGGCTGCCAACACAGATGGAATTTTGCTCACTCGCCCGCTGCTCACCTCCTGCTGTGCAGCCCTGTTTCTAACAGGCCACGGACCAGTAGCAGTCCGCGGCCTGGAGGTTGGGGTCCCCTGTTCTAATGAGTCTCACACAACTGACCCTTTTGGGGGGGCTGGCATCTTAGGACCAGCCTGATGACTTCCCAAGGTTGGCACGTGAGGAGACACACGTCTCCAGGTCCTTCCTGGCCCTGAGACGCAGCCCAGCTTGTCAAGGGGCAAGGAGCCAAGGCAGCCATTGGCCTGCAGTTGTCCAGGTCCCCACTGGCCAGTGTGTGTGTTCCCTGGTCCTCGGCGGGTCCAGCCGGGGTGTGTCCCGCTGTCTGTTCTGGCTGTCGTGGGGAGCAGGTGGGATGCCACGCCATTTCTAACCTGTTTTTGCACTTTGCATCTTTCTCCTGTCTTTGTCTCTCCCTCCTTCCCCTCTGTGCGCACTGCCTTTCACTCCGTAGTTCTTGGGGACACATACAATATTCCTTTAGACCCCCGAGGTAAGCAGCAGGGCTCTGCAGCCCCATCCTTCTCCCCCCGGAGGCCCCGTGGGGACAGAGGCACTGGGACAGACTCAGGACCTACTGGGGAGTGGGGGTCAGAGGGGACATGGGTTCCTTCAGAGTACCCCCAGCTCTCAGCTTCCTGCATGACCACTTTCTGTGTCCGAGCTTATCTAGGCAGCGTCCTGCTGTCGCCAGCACCCTGAGTGCCCGGCAAGGCTAGCCCAGCGCCTCCCTGCCCCCGCCCTCCTCCCCTTGGCCTTCCACTCTGATGGGCCGCAAGTCCCCTCTGTTCAGCAGAGCCCAGTAGAGGAGGTGGTGGGAAGCGGGGGAGGAGGGGGAGAGGCCACGGGAGCCCGTTCTGACTCTGCTATTGACAAATGGGATAGGTGGGCCTCGTAGATATCACCAGCATGGGTCGGGGGCCGAAGGGCAGGGGCTGTCCCACTCCTGACCTGCCAGCCTTCCCGCTGATCCTGGGCTACCCCATCACCATAGAGGGGCTTGCCCTGGGGTCTAGAAGGTGTCCAAGGGAATGCTCCCTGCAGCGGACGGGGAGCCTTGGAGGCCAGTTCTGCTCCGAGCACCCTTCCGTCCCATCTGCCAGAGGAAGGAGGGCCCGGGGCCCCTCCCAGCATTTCCTCGGTTGCCCTTCAGGCTGAGGGAAGGCCAGAGAGGGTCTTGGCTGTCGCCTCTGCAATGACAGGACCTTTTCTCTCACAGAGACTAGTTCTTCAGCCACCAGCTACAGCTCCGAGTTCAGCAAGCGCCTCCTGAGCACCTACATCTGTGAGTACTCTCCCAGCACCCTGCGCTCTGCACCCCGCGCCCCGCGCCCTGCACCCTGCCTGTCCTTCCCCTCTCCTTGCGCTTTCCTGCTGTTCCGGGTCATCCTCCTGAGCCCCCCTGACCTTTGGGATTACAACCTGACCTCTGGTTCGGGGGCCGGGGAGCTGGGCAAAGGGCTCCCGAGGCTCGGGGAGTCTGGAGTCAGGGGGGAACGAGGAGTAACAGGTTTGTGGGTCTCAAGATTAGGTCATTTTAGTCAAACTGCCATGTGGGTGTGGCCACATCCATCCTGTGCAGGTAAAGTCCTGGGCAACCTGCAGTTGAACTTGCTGAGCAAGTCCAAGGTGTACGAGGACCCCGCTCTGAGCGCCATCTTCCTGCACAACAACTACAACTACATCCTCAAGGCCCTGGAGAAGTAAGCGAGCGCAGGTGCCGGTCTGCGGCCCTCACCTGGTCCGGCGCCCGCCCTCCCGGGGCTGGCTGTACCCTCCCGTGTCCAGTTGGGGAGGGCAGCGTTTCCTCTCCAAAGTCCCAGGACCCAGGGAGGCGTGGGTGCAGCTGCCTTCTTAGAGCTCTTGAAAGTGGGGCGGGAGGGGCAGGGCCTGCTGGTGCTGCTGCGGGGCTGCAGGCCCTGGGAGCCAACTGCATCCTTCTCTGCTCCCTCCCCTACCCTACTGCAGGTCCGAGCTGATCCAGCTGGTGGCTGTGACCCAGAAGACTGCCGAGCGCTCCTACCGGGAGCATATCGAGCAGCAGATCCAGACCTACCAGCGCAGGTGAGAGAGGCTGGCCCTCTCCCCCACCCCCACCCCGATTCCCACCACTCACTCTTCCTTCTCAGAGTCCCAGGACGCTGGGCCCAGTTGGAGTGGGGTCAGTAATGGGGAACTGTCACCTGTGGACCCAGTCATGTGTTTAATCGCATTCGTGGGGTGGAGATAGAAGCCCCCCTCTCGTACCTCTGCTAGCTCTCACCCGGCCCACTGTGCCAGCGTCTTCAGAGGGTAGTCTGCCTGCCGAGGGCGGAGCTAAGAATGGTAGAAGGGCTGACTGCCAAAGGCGTGGGTAATATTTGGCCCCAGCAAAGAGCAAGGTTGCAAGAGCCCTTGAACTTGGCTGAGCCTCGCTCTGCAGTGCTCCCTCTTCTTCTCCCGGGTCGGTGTCCCTCTGTCCCTGGCCCCTCCTTTTCTTCTCATCTGCTTCTCCGTCTTAGTTTGCCATGGTACTGACGTGAAGCATAGTTGATAGTGTGTGTTCAATTTATTGAGTGCTTTGTTATTTGTTCTTAATTTTTGAAGCAGGCAGTTCAATCATGTTCCCAAAGAAAATTCTCAGTTACATTTTGCTTCGTTGTGACCCAGATCAATTCCTGCCCTCCCTCCCCACCCACCCTGAGTAGATCAAGAGATTTAAGAAACAAAACAAACCAGCCCCAGGAAGCAGCAGCTGCCTGAGGCCGTCCCTCCCATGCTTCTCTCCCTCTGGGCAGTTGGTTAAAGGTGACTGACTACATCGCTGAGAAGAATCTACCTATGTTCCAACCGGGAGTCAAGGTGGGCTGAAGACCTGGGCTGGGAAGGGCTGTCTGGCAGATGTGATACTTTTCGTTCCGTCTCGGGGAAGATGGACAGGAGTCCCGCCGGAATGGGAGAGTGGAGGATGCGTGTGGCCATCGGGGAGGGCTGGGCCGGGGTGTTTGGGGAGGGGTAGGGGCCGTCGATTCTGCTCTGAGGAAAGCTCTCTCGGCCCCCCAGCTCCGGGACAAGGAGCGGCAGATGATCAAGGAGCGGTTTAAGGTGAGTGGGGTTTAAGGGGCGTGGGGATCGCACCCCCTCCACCGCTCGCTGCTGCGGTCGTAGCAGCAGAGACCTAAATACTTGTGTTTGGGTGGCTTCTCTTTCCACCCTTTTGGTGGCCAGGGCTTCAATGATGGCCTTGAAGAATTGTGCAAGATCCAGAAGGCCTGGGCTATTCCCGACACAGAGCAGAGGGACAAGATTCGCCAGGCTCAGAAACACATGGTCAAGGAGACCTACGGGGCCTTCCTGCACAGGTGAGCCCCATGCGCCTCACTCCCCCCACGAGACCTCTGTGCTCTTCGAGAAAATGCAGAGGGGGTGGTAGGTCTGGGTGGCAGATCCCGTGCCCTGGGCTTTGGTGTGGGGCCGTGGCACCCCGGCGGGAGGGCCTTAGATTGAGGTGGAGCAGGGTGGGCTGGGCTTCCCTCCGACCTCAGTGCCTGGTCAGGTACAGCAGCGTGCCCTTCACCAAGAACCCTGAGAAGTACATCAAATACCGCGTGGAGCAGGTGGGAGACATGATAGACCGCCTCTTCGACACGTCCGCCTAAGCCTGCCACTGTCCCTGCCCGGTTGCACCAGACCGGCCATGTCATTGGACACATAAACCAGTGTTCACTTGCCTCTGGGCTGGGTGAGTTTGCCGTCCTTTGGCACAGGGACATTTCTTCCCTGCCCGTGCTAGGAGCCCTGTCCCTGGGTCCTTGAGTCCTGGCTTCTGCTTCTTCCCACAGCCCCCACTCCACACCAAACCAGCACACTCCTGGGCACTGGGCTTCCTGCACACCTTGAGTTTTACGTCCCTGACTGCACCTGCAGGGGACATGTGATGGCTTCAAGACAGGGAAGGCCAGAGAAGGAAGACACAGGCCTGAGCTCACAGCTGCCTCGTGTGCACAGGAGCAGGAGGGCACAGCCACTCCTCCACCAGCCCAGTTCAGAGCTGGGGGTGGAGCCCCCCACTTCAGCCCAAACGCACAGGGGGGCTCAAAGGAGCAGGCTGACCACAGCCAGAGGCCTGGAGCAAAAGCAAGCAGGATGGACCTGCTCTCGCATTTAGTGCAGAGGGCGCATTCCCCATCATCCGCGTCCTGAGGGCTGGGGGTGTTCTGTCCCCAGCTGGCCGGAGCAGGAGTGCTCTCCCTCCATGCCCTCAAGGGCCCAGCACACCTCAAGAATGCAGAGCCGTTCTGATCACTCTCTGCAGCCTGACTCTTGGGCCCCGCCTCCTGGTCCCCAGTGCCTGCTGGCCCAGGGCCAAGCAGCAGTGGTTGCATAGGAGCAGTTCAGCTGTGGGTGCGGGGTGGGAGACTGGTGGCCACTGCTGAGAAGTTCAGGAGTGGAGTGAGGGTCGGGGTGTGAGGTGGGGCCCCACCTCCATCGGACAAGAGTGAACAGCTGAGCTCAATGAAAATGAAGGCAGACCCTTGGGTGCACTTGAGCTTGGGTGATGGGTTTATTTCACACTGCTTACATGCTAACAGAAGGGAGAGCTCAGGGTGGCCTAGGGTCCTCCAGGCTTCAGGAAGAGAGTCAGTGTCCCTCGCTGTCTCTCCAGAGACCCCGTCATGGCCCTCCCCCAGGTCCTGCACTGTTACAGCCTGGGCTGCCCACCATGGGGCGCGGCCTTGCCAGGGGCTGGGTCAGACTTGCACGTCGTCCACATCCAGAATCCAGCGAAGACAAACTGGCTACACACCACCCCCGCCACATACACCAGGAAGAAGGTGTGGTCGGCAGCCTCAGCCCAGCTCCTCCATGGCCCCTGTACTCCTCTGGGGGCCTCTGTGGGGGAGAGGCAGGAAAAGGAGCAGCATTTCAAGGCTCACCCAGAACAGAAGGGTGAACCCCAGGGCCTGTCCGCTGTGTGGCCTCCTTCCTGAGACCTACAACTAGTGAACGTTTGGGTCTGGCCCACTGTAGGCCACCTCCAGTTGAAGAAAGACTCTGCTAGAGAGGCTCCAAAGGCACAGGGTCACCTCGGGGGGTCCAAAGTCATCCAGGCCTTTAAGGAGGCTGACCTTGCTCCCTGCTCCAGACCTGCTTCTTCCAAGGGCTGATGTGGGAACAGTGGGGCACAGAATACAAGGAGCCTCCAGCCCCAGGCGTGCATCCTGCCAGCTCTGCCCCGTCAGACCTGCTCCCGGCCTCATTCCTCACCCACCCCTAGGAAAGGCCCTAGCCCCTACCCACCTTCAGGATTAGGCCCTGGGTTCCCAGGGTCTTGCCGCTCCCCTCTCGGAGCTGGACCGGGGCTGTTCTTGGCCCCGAGGTGGCCACGGGCCAGGATCCCCGCCAACAGCACGGTCTCCATGGTGCTGATGAACAGCAGCAGCAGCAGGATGGTGAAGTAGTAAACTGGGGAGGGGGCGGGAGCGTAGGTCAGGGGCCAGCCTGTGCCTCCGGCGCCCGGGTCGCTGAGCAGAGGTGGGGAGAGAGAAGGCCAGCCAGGCAGAGGGCCCCTGCCCCGGGTGGGTGAGGGCAGAGGGCTTACTGAGCAGTGGGTTGCAGGAGGAGGAGCTGGGCAGGCCGTCCACCAGGGAAGAGTGGAAGACGAGGTAGCCCAGCAGCAGGGTCACTTTGTAGGCGGTGCGCTCTGTGGCCCGAAGGGGCAGGAGCCCCCCACACACATCAGCCAACAGCAGCGCCTCCCCGGGTACCAGCAGAGCTATGATGGCCTTTAGTGCCGTATTCTGTAGGCGCAGCTGGAAGGAAGAAAGTTGGGGCTTTCTGGGGGTGTGTGCGGAGGGTGGGCAGGGCAATGCTCCATCAGCCCTCTGTCAGCCTCTCCCCGACTCACCGTCACCCGGAAGCAGGGTACCAGCTGCTGGGGCAGGGCTTGGACTTTCAAATCCCGAACCACATATTCCCGCTTGACACTCACAATCTCATTCACCACATGCGCCTGGAACTCCAGCTCCATCGCTAGGAGTAGGGATGAGAACGGTGATCTAGGAAAGAGATACCCCTGCCCCCACATCCCTCTTGGGAATAGGGGCAGGGACAAGCTGGTGCCTGGGACGGAGACTTCTGATGGCTGCTGGGGGTAGGCTTGGAGATGAAACTGAACCATACAGGGCTTCCCAAACCTGAATCTGCACCCCTAAGTTTTCTCCAGTTAAAGGAAGGGCCTTATCAGATTCATAGACAGATTTTTATGTAAAAATAAATACACTTCGCACACTTTGTGGAGCGGAAGTGGTCCCAGACTCATCCACCAGTGTGTCATCTCACACCTGAAATACTAGAATTCATGCCCTGTAGTATTTCCCGGAGGCAGGGGTTATAAGGGAAGGATGGGACTTCTCTGCCAAGTTGGACAGCGTCACCTGAGGGGTCTGTGGGATATTGACTGGGTAGTGGCACCTTCAGGATGTTTACACGGATGAGGCCACGAGCTGAGCTTACACCAGTGGCCCAGCCGCTGTGGTTTGGCCCTGGCTGTTGCGGGCAATCGCCTTGGGGTAGCTGAGGGACAGAAGACTGAAAGTGGGGGGGACTACAGGGAGGACAGGGGAGATCTAGTGAGAGGTGCTCCGGGATCCATTCAGCTCCCCTAAGCCTGGGGGCTAGACTGGGGTGGACGCAGGCTCACCACCCCCATGTCAGACATTGACCCGAGGCTTCCCCTCTCCTCCCCTCCCCCCAGCCCCACTAGACTGGGGTGGACGCAGGCTCACCACCTCCATGTCAGACGTTGACCCGAGGCTTCCCCTCTCCTCCCCTCCCCCCAGCCCCTGTCCTGTCAGCACCAGTGTTGCCGAGAGCGTAGAAGCTGAGGGTGCAGTCACTCTGGTCCCTGGGGAAGTGGAGGAGCTCAAAGTCACAGTTGGTCTCTGTGGTGAGGGCCAGGTGGAGTTCGACGTGGCCATCTTGATCCACTTGGGCCCGTAGGCTCTGGTCTTGCCAGTCTACCCAGAGCCTGCAGGAAAGGCACTGCAGCTGGAGGCCTAGCCCCTTCTCTGAAGGGGGTGCAGGGGGAGAGTCAGGCACATGCCCAGCTGCCATGCCCTGACCCCAGGGTTCCAAAAGAGAGGCGTGCCAGTTGCCTGGCAGGGTGCCCAACAGAGAGATGTTCGCTCAGAGGGCCTCCAGGTTCCAGATGGGGAAGACAGGGATATGTGCAGTGCTTCCTGGGACTAGCACTCCCGCCTCACTTACGCCTCCTGGATAGTGAGTCCCGGCGTCCACAGTGAGTTCCAGGGCCGCGTGACCATGCGCCGTGGGTATACACTCCCGTTCCAGGCCAGGCGAGTGTCCAGCCAGGCCTGGGGACACAAGGATGCCACTAAGGCTCTGGCTCTCCACAAATTTGTGCCTCTTGGCTTGGCAGGTTGATGAAGGCCAGTACTTCTGAGCTGGACTCAGAGGGTTCTCCTGTCCCAACCCCCACCCTTTTATACTCCCTCCCCCCCCACACACACACACACTGGGCGCTCACCAGCCGAAGCAGCAGCATGGAGGACATTGTGTACCGCAGGATGTCCTGCAGGAGGGGGCAGCGTGTCACGAAAGAAGGTGGGAGAACTTAGCATGCCAGGGGCTGAATCCTGCCCCACACCCAGCTCAGTGCTTGGGCCCCACCTGCTCCACGGCCTGAGGACACTTACCACGTTGAACACATTCGACACGACCACCTGCACGTCTACGAGCAGGGGCGAGCTCCCGTTTTTGGGAATCTGGATGATTTCCTGAACCTCCAGGGGTGAGTTGGCATCAAAGAAGGATGGCCAGGCTGAAGGATGGAGGTCGAGGTCACCTGCAGGCCCTGAGGCCCAAATCTGAAAGCTCACTACCTACCAATGCCTTCCACTTACCAAGCACTGGCCTGTGGAAGTGACGACGGCCCTGGACGGAGGACTGCGTGGTGCCTAGTCCGAGCAAGGCGACATGGAGCAGCAGCCGCAGGGCCATCATTGGCGGCTGCACGGAGGGGCCGGGCAGAGCAGCGGCACCGGAGCTCCAGCCTCTAAGTCACTTCTCTGGGGTACTGGGCAGTTTGTCGAGGCAGCTGCTCTGTACCATGATCCTGGAGCCTTGGACTTGGCACCCCACGCCCACCCTGGGTTCCGCAAACACCCGAAGACAAAGCCCGGGACCCAGCCCTGCACCTGCCTAGGCTTTCCTGTCTCGCTCCATTTCCACCACCTGGAACCCGTTGCCACATTCTAGGCCCAACTTGGGCAGACGCCGCAGGCCTACCTTGCTTTCCAGAACGAGCCTGGCTAAGTACCCAAACCCTTGCCGAAATGCCTTGCACTCAACGATAGGAAACGGGCACACCCTTAAGAGTTTTCCTGCCTCTTCTTAAGCCCTGAACCAATTTCATATAAAAAGCTTTGGCTTGAGGACTCCAGGAGGGGGGCAAACCCGGAGACAGATAGAGGCTAGCTCATGAGCAAAGCCGGGAGGCATCCCTGTTCCCGCATCAGATTCTCAGCCTGCCCCAGTCCAACGCTGCCTTAGAACCGCTGCTGTGCGCCCTGGAGCAGGACCGGTGGGGTTGGAGCGAGACTTTCTGGCCAGGAGAAACCAAGTTCTGATCCCGGATAGCTGCAGCTGAAGCAAGGAAAGAAAACCTCAAGGCTGAAAGTCTGTAGGCACCGATAGGGCTGCGGAGACTCCGAAGGGGCCCAAGGAGCTGAGAGCAGGCTAGGACCCGCCACACACTACTGCACGAGCGCTGTGAGGAATATAGTATCCGCATCTGTCATCGACCGATTTTACGGAATGCGCTTAAACACCCTGCCTGCCTTTGTCGTATGCATCCGCAGCTGCTGGTTTGCCAAACTATATACACCTGGCGCCTCCGGACGGCCACGTGCAAAGAGCCTTCAGGAGTTGGGCGCTCCCCAGCCTCATTTAAGAGTTCCTATGCGGATTTTAA